CTAAGACGCAAGGCTAAACCTTTTTTGAGGGAAAATCATCTAGTGACTTCTTCGGCCTTGGCTGAGGTGAGTATCAGAGATTTTCTACCCCTGGTTTAAGCTGGCAACCCGGAAACCCGGTAACCCGGTTTTCCGCAGATCCGGGACAAGGTTAGACCCTAAAAACCATGTTAAGTTACATATTTTGCAAAACCAAATCTCCTCTAACAAAATTTATTAACAGAAGACTGCAAAAAGGAGAGAAAAAAGCTCTCATTTCTAATTCAAACTAACAAGCACACTATTTACTTTACCAACACCATTTCTTAAGGTTATCAAAAAAGTTTCAGACCTAGCAGATAGGAGGGATCGTTTCACTCGCAACTTTTTACGTTTTGCACCCTCCGGCCTCTGAAAGGTAGCTCCGAATATCCTACGCACTTTCCGCCTTGCAAAAATATTTTTTTGAGGATAGAAAGTCCATTTTTGTATCGGATCACTTTATTGAGTGATCTAAAAAGGGATTTTTAAGCAGGATACGCCTTTTGGCGCCAAAGGGGGTTGGTTGAAATGTATTTAAAGACTATCCTCTTTCAGATGCTCATGGTTTAAGTTCTATTCTAATTGGGAGTAAGTCTATTCCTTAGTAAAGAATCCAAAATCGATGACTTGAATCGATGATTAACCTAAGAATTTCTACCACACAGCCTTTCACAACATTATAATCAAGTCCAGAGACATTTAATAGTCCTTGTTTATGAAGCTAATTATTCGGTTATAATGAAACTAGCATTTACCCGCATCTTCGCTAGCCTTACTGTATTATAAATGCTAAAATTTATGTGTATGTTTTTTACTCAATCTCGTAAAAACTATTGAAGGAATCGGGACGAAATTTGGAACAGAGGCAATTATGGTTTAGAATAACACATTGGCTACTTTTCATCGGGTGAAGTTGCTTGCAGAAGCTACTTATTATAATAAAAACAAGTAACATACAACATTTAACCACAGCTCTCTAGCTTTAGCTAGGAAGACAAGAGACATCTTACTTCGTTTCTTACACAATTCGTCGCCTCTTCAATGCAATTTACCCCAAAAAAGTTATCCATAACGGTCCTGTAAAGTTTTATCTATGTCTAATTAAATTTATCAAAATCTGTCCACCTATTTACGAGTTTAACCGCAACTAACACACATTAGTTTCAAATTTAACCAGTCTTAAACTGCAAATCTTTTCAGATTAAAGGCTTATTTTGAAAGATAATCTGATAAGAGGGGATAATCTTTAAATTTTTTTGGATTATCGATCAGGAATGGCAAAACATATTATTTCAACGACAATTTTTGTGTTTTTCCACACCCATTTTTGAGTCATAAGAGAGATATTGCTCTGCAGCGTTGTAACAAAAGTTTAGAATACATTTTATAGCAACCTGGTCTGCACGAAAGTATGGTAAGAGCCGAATAAGGCACAACATATTTGACAGAGACCGGGCAGCAGCGCCTGATAAACCTGAACCTTTTATACTGTGATCTTCAACTCGCCTTCCAATGCGGAGATTATGGCAATTTGGCGAAACCTCTTATGTAGAGGACGCTCGTAGTCCAGCAGTGGATTGGCAGTGTTTTCACGAACTTTCGATGATGATAACCTCTTCAAAGTAGTTATAAAAGGGCGTAAAACTATCCCAATGATGCTACTAATATTATAGATGCGAAAATTTGTGACGATGCCTGTATGTATGTGTGTGTGTGTCTATTTGTTACCCTTTCACGTCAAAACTGCTGAAGGGATTAGGATGATATTTGGAATAGAGGTAGATTATGGTCTGGAATAACAACTAGGCTACTTTTTATCCCATGGGCACGCGGGCGAAGCCGCTGGCAGAAGCTAGTGATATAAATGTAAAATTAAGTTTATTTATTTATTTATTTTATTTATTTATTTTTATTTAATTCAACACATCCTAACAGGTTACACCCAATGCGATAATGTTGTCACTTAATGTAAAAACTTATAATTAGTATTAATAAAAAAAAAACTTAAATAAAAACTTAATATAAAAACTTATAACAACTATGTACTTATCCATTAACTACATATGTACAACTAACAACATCAGTCGTTACCTTTATGAACTCCGCCAATGAGCAACAGAAAATATCAACCTTTTGTCCAACTCTGTTAATTATTTTAATAGCTCTAGCCACAGGAGCATATCGACCTATGTTAGTGCGACTGGTTGGGACCTCAAATAGTCTCTGCCTCGGGCTCAGCCTTAGCTTTGTATTTGGGACGAGCAACCTCAACGAAGCCAGTATGGATGGATTGTTCTGCTTACCCCGGAAAACCTCAAACACGTACTTTGCGAGTGCAACCTCTCGCCTGACCTCCAGCTTATAGTATCCCACCATGCCAATAACAAACAGAGAAGGATACATGAGTGGGTAATACGGGTACACTCCATATTGTTTTAGGTACAGGTACCGAGTAAACTTGTTTTGCATCTTCTCCACCATGAGGCTGTATTTCATCTCATGGGGGTTCCAGATTATAGCACTCGTCTCTAATTGACTCCTAACCAAAGCATTGTATAATATTTTTAAGTTACTTAGTTCCATTTTCGTCCTTTATCTACTCAAGCAATCTTCATGTAATTTTGCATACATATAGTTGGGAGTACCAAGAAGGACATCGGCTACATCACGTGGGAAAAGCCGCCAATAAAAGATAGTAGTACCTACACTATTTTGACAACCGTCTAGCATCATTCAAAAGCGACGAAGTCTTGATCAGACGTTGATTTTAATCAATGTTCAACAACATTCATTAATGATATGATTGAATCTAAATAAGATATATATATTTAACATATCTTTATGTGACGTCAATGACATATATTGATACAAATATACTTGATTACTTATAGCGGTTTGCACAAGTAGATGTTAGGCTAAACATTTATGCTTCGGCACGAATGGGCCGGCTCGACCGGAGTGATACCACGGCCGAGCAGAAAACCGAAGTGAAACAACGCTTGCGTTGAGTTTCGTCGTGTAAGTGAGGTTAAGACCAAATTACCCTCCCCTCCTCCCCAATCTCCCCAATCCCTGAATTCTCAACAATCCTCAAATTCCTAATACCTAAAAGGCCGGTAACGCACTTGTCCACATCCATTTGATATTTGTCCATGTTTTTATTGTAATTAATGAAACAATCTGTGGTTTTTTATGTTAAAGTAGAGTATTTTTATAATTCACTAAACATGTAGCTATAAGAAAACTTCAACAGATCTTTATGTAAAGCCATATTTACAATGTTTTTGATATTTGTTGAAGTTTTTGTTGTAATTATGAAACAATCTGTGATTTTAAATAGTAAGATTAGGTACATACAAAATCAAAATGACAAATATTGTGTCACATTATTATAATGAAACTGAATGATGTTAGAAGTTAGTCTTTTAAATAATAAATATTTTCTTGTATCGATATAATTTTATTTCCAAGTCTCCGCACTATGCGAGTGATATTCGTAGGTGCGCTTCGTGGAATAGGAAATTATTTATTTAAATATTATATTTTAAGCGCACTTGCAGGCGCGCTAAGTGGAATACTTTAGGTGCGCTTCGTTTAGGTGCGCTTCGTGGAATACCTCAGCCTATTGCCATATACCGGGCACAATTCCGGACAGAATGAGTCAAATGATATGAACCTTTTGAGAATGAAACTAAACTAAAATATTAAATGTTTCATTTACGACAGTTGGATTTATATTTAAATTAAAATATCTAAATAAAAAATAAGAATTTCCGTTTGTTAGTCTCGCTAAAAGTTGAGGACAGCTGAACCAATATGGTTAATTTTTAATTTTGGTCTTGAAATATTTGTGGAAGTCCAGGGAAGGTTTAAAAGGTGACACAAAAATTTTAGGTGATACAAAGGTTGCTGATTGAGCTAGTAATTGTATAAAAATAGGTCACCACAATGCATGTGTGCATATAACACATAAATGGCTACATCAAATTGAATAAATCCTTTTTTGTTGTGTTTACTATGGACAGGACTAGGTTTGTATAAAATAAATAAAATAGAAAATCACTGGGAAAGTCAAGGAGTATCATACGAGCGAAACCGGGACGGGTCGCTAGTTTATTTTATATTTTTATGATAAACAATTCGTAATAAATGCAATATTTCATAAATCATGTTAACTAGTGTCGAGTTTTGAAATAAAAGATTATCTGAACATAATATAAGTAGATTTGAGTAGATTATTACAGATATTTTTTTTATAATCTTCTCACTTTATCAAAACATCCGGTAATAATTTCGAAAACGATAAATATTACGTATTTATAAAGATGATAAGTAAATTGGTATTTTACTCACCAACCACTGGTAATTATTGATTTAATTTTCACTTTAACGCCGCACCGCAAAGTTATAATTTAATTAAAAATCATTATATCAGTTTTCGAAAATCAAAAAGCCATTCATTACTTTCACTTTTTGACATTTCAACAAGGATACACTTCTGCCAACTACACACAAAAAAAAATAATCGATAAAAAATCGATATCAATGTCAAATGTCAAACAAAGAAGAAAGCACAAAGCTTGCAAACCACGTGGAGCGCCAAGGTCGAATTTATGTTTTCAACTTGTCAAGCGCGGCGTGTGATAAATTAATTCTACGGGCCGTTATCGTTCTACAAATTGCGACACTTTCGACCTTATTCTGTTAGCGGTAAAGTAGGTTTTCGCTTGCGCGCAAAGCCCACGCATAGTCGCCAACCCAGGCAATATATCTTAGGCCGTGTACTGCCCCTGACAGTTCGTAAACAAACTGGAGCTACCGCAACAAAGGGCGACTGTCATTTCACGCTGTAAATATTAAGTTTATGCCAAATATTATTTTGTATGAATTCGATTATGCGTCCAATGAAGCCAATTTTATCGAACGCGGACGATTATCGACTCCAATACACTATAAGAACAACATTCAAAGCTACTTACCAGAAGAAATCAACACGAGGTTGAGTAACGCAGAGTCATCTGTGGTAAATCTTGCACATATCGATCAGCCTTGCAGTTCTCAAAAACACTGACGGGAGAAAAAAAAAGAATGAAGAGGTTAGCACCAAAATTCGTCAACTAAACGTCTATCACTCGTCACTGTTGTAGTAAATAGAGTTTTTATTGCAAACCGACGCGTAACGAGTCAGAGAACGTAGTCTGGTCGTTAAATGATTCACTATCAAAATAAAAATAATCCGGTAGACGCTGCGTCGACGACCGCGCCACTGTCTGTCTGCCGTGCTGTCAATATTCGTCAAAACGAAAATGGCGACACCCTCGACGGAATACGATCAGCACCGGCCTGCCTGCTGTTGCTTTCTCTGTCTATCATGAACGAGTGACAAGGACGGGTTATAGACGTGTTGTCTTCGGCCCGACCGGACTGATTTGTGATGTCACGCCCAGCGGCGTAACGTTTTGCGTAATTACACGTTCATGAACGCTTGTAAACTTGTTTTAATAACGTTAATTTACGATCGTTTCGTATATGAGGTCGCAAGATGAAAGTGTCGGCTGATAGATAGATTAATTACGATGGAAAGCGGAATATTTTTTAAGTAATACGTCTTTGCGCATGCTAGGCCCATCCCACTACTCAATATCTGTCGTACGAGCGCCTCCTACTTCTTCTTATTTTATTCAGTACTGTTTTTTTGGATGTTCATCTCGACTGCATTAATACGATGCGAAAGCAGTCGCAATGCAGTTTGATTAATAATAGAGTCGACTCTTTGTCTGACTTCGTAATTGAGTTACGTTTGAGCTGTAAATTCATTTTTTGTCGAACGCTTGTTTACTAAATGTGTGCATCGCGTTTATAAATTTTAATTGACTATTGTTGTTTTATTTTTGTATGATGTTAAAATGCATTGAGCACATGCCGTTGTACTCCTGATTTTAATTACAATGCTATGCAATGCTATTAGCATTTACATTAATTTATGATGACTATAAATTATTGTTTGAAAATAAACCTTGAACATTGATTTGGTCAAACGTAATGAAGTAAATGAAGGTTAGGCATTCGATTGAACTGCTTGTGATAACTATTAATTGAAAACTGGATACTTGAAATACCTAATTATGAATGATTACATAAATATTAAATGATTTCTAAAACATGTAGTCATATTCATAGATTGATTTCGGCATCACGGAACTATGAGGAGGTTTGAGGCCACTGAAATGTCAAAATCATATTGTGACATTGACAATTCGACAAATCGAAACGTAAATATTCGATGACAAAATGTAAATCGATTAAAATTTTCCCTAAACTAATACATATCTCATTATACCAACATCAAGAAACAAAATAAAATTAAACGCCAATAAAAACACGAATATGCAAATATTTATTATTAAAAATAAAATAGTTGTTGTGTATAGTACAGAATACGTTTAGTAATTATATATTTTCGTTTATTCTAAAATGACCTAAAAGTAAAATAAGTAGGATCAAAATTAAAATCTATACCCATTTAATAAATGGTACAATTTTTAGGCTGGAAACATATGGAACTTATTGTCAATCCAAATCAAATTCAATTTTCGTCCGTTGAGTTTTTTTGAAAAGTTTCCATTTTGTAGTGCACACGAGAAATAATTTTTGTGTTCTATTTGTTTAATTTGTTAAATTATTACTATCAATAATGTCTGAAAGAAACTCATCACGTTTGTCGGCGTACAAAAATGCTGGCCAAGGGACAAATGTAAGTTTTTAAACTGTATTCGAAATTCAAAATCATGTGGTCGACAAACAAAGAGTTGAGAATTCTTTTATTTTAATTTACTTAATTACGCATTTAATATATAAAAAGCAGTAATTATCGATTAAGATTAAGTAAAATATTAAATATTGTTTAATTTTAGCTTAAAATATCGTATACCTGAGAATCCTTTGTTTGATCAAACTCAATTTCTTATAAGTAAAGATTAGAGGGTAATAGTTAGCATAATCATTTCAATTTGGTTTTGTTAGTTTAATAAATTTTATAGTAATTGTATATTTATACACCTAAACGATGAATTTGGTCGAAGTCTCATGATTATTGAAAAAATCACACGTCAACTGCAAATAAGAATAACATTGGTCACTGAATATCCTGCGGTGATCATTAAAAATACAAATCAATTATTAATGAGGAAAATGTTTTCTTTGATGCCTTATGATTTATTTTTATTATTATTATTTTATTAAGGTGTAAATATTTTAGTTTTAAATTTGTTTTTTATATATATTTTAAGTTGTATATATTAATTTTTATCTTGTATTGTATATATTTAATTGTATAATGTAAGAAATAAAATTGAATATAGCTTTGAATCAATTATATAAACATATATCAAATAACATTTGTTGGTCAGTCGGCTGGCAAAGCCAAAGATGCTCACTGACCCAAACAATTTCAAAATTCTAAACTACTTATATCAAAGTCAAAGTCAAAAACATCTATTTCAATTAAACCAGAAAGGCACTTTGAATGTCAACAATACAATTTAAAAGTAAATCTATTTTGCTCATTCCATGGTGTAGATTATTATGGAGAAGAACGAACAAAACACTCCATAGAGAAGGATCGGGGTGGTTTTTAGTCAGTAAGAGTCTGACACTCCCTCCTGCCTCACCTAGGCGAGAGGAGCCGTTCGATGATTTTCCCCCCTTAAAAAAAATAAAAGACATTCCATAGGATACTTTTTTTAATCAGGTTCACAATACAATTCTCTAGTTTCATAGTTTTGTTGGTTCGATTGTGCCAGAAAAATGTCACACTATAATCCAGTCAAAGTTAACGCTGAATAGGTACCAATGCATCATCAGGTGATCCACCTGCTCATTTGCCTCCTACTCTATATAACAAAACACCCTTAGATTAAAAAATGACTAAACTGTGATCTAGTTCTGACCATCATAAAACTCAAAATCATCACTTTATCTATTAGGATCTCCGCCGTAAAAGAGCAGAGCTCAGCGTGGCTCTGCGCAAGCAGGCTAGAGATGAGCAGCTTCTCAAGAGAAGGGCACTGTCTCCTGAGGCCGGTGATGAAGTCCATGAAGAGGAAGTCAAGGTGTTTACCACTTCAGAGATTGTTCAAGGTAAAGCCACTTATTTGCAACCACTTTTAATGTAAAATGGAAAACAATTACTAATAATAAGTAAAGCAAAGGGTCTCGGGTTCAATTCCTGAGTCTGGCAAAGTACTACTGGGTTTTTAAAAAATTCTCAATGGTAGCACGGAGTCTGGAAATGGCAATAGGCTCACCCCCTATTACATGGGACTTGTTACTTAAATAATGAAAAGTGGGTGTTGTACGTTGTACAGTGGCATTAACCCGTTGAAATCCACCCCCTAAATTTGGTCATACAAAAGTAGTCTCTAAACATTACAAATAAGGTCTATAATGTAATGTAATATTAGTGGAAAGCGGTCACCGGTGACCGCTTGGTGATTTATGGGTTAAGTGCCATAATGTGGACTTCTGCCTACCCCTTCAGGGATAAAAGGCATGATGTATTGTTTCAAAATCACATGGCAAACTTAATACGTCAGACTTCAATAAAATCCACCTACTTGCTATCACCAGGTCTTCGCTCCAACGACCTGGCAACTATGACGGCAGCAGCGCGCGCAGCTCGTCGCTTTCTCTCTAAGGAACAGAATCCCCCCATCTCCAGCATGGTGGCTGCTGGAGTTATCGGACCATTGATACATGCTCTGGAGCGAGATGACTGGTGAGTTATCATCTAGAATTTCTTTATCTCCTTCTGATTGCTGTGTGATGACAACAGAGTAGAATGTATTGTCCACCACCTCTACTCTTCCCGCGGGTGTTATATACCCAATGCATACCCTCGAGAAAACAGGACCCTCCTATATCCACCATGGTAGCTGACAGAGTCATTGGACCATTGATACATGCTCTGGAGCGAGATGACTGGTGAGTTACCATCTAGAATTTCTTTATCTACTTCTGATTGCTGTGTGATGACAACAGAGTAGAATGTATTGTCCACCACCTCTACTCTTCCCGCGGGTGTTATATACCCAATGCATACCCTCGAGAAAACAGGACCCTCCTATATCCACCATGGTAGCTGACAGAGTCATTGGACCATTGATACATGCTCTGGAGCGAGATGACTGGTGAGTTACCATCTAGAATTGCTTTATCTTCTGATTGCTCTGTGATGACAGCAGAGTAGAATAGATTTTAAGTAGAATTTATAGTAGAATAGACATGTGTAATATCCCTTGCAATACCTCAAATATTATTTTTTGTGTTATGTATTTCAGCACAGACCTGCAGTTTGAAGCAGCGTGGGCGCTCACTAACATTGCATCTGGTACCCACGAACATACTATGGCTGTTGTCGATGTAAGTTCATTTATATCATGCATTTTATTTTTTAACTGGTCAAATACCGTCATTATAGACACAATTATAGAACAATAGGTTGCGGTCACTGGTGACCGCTTGGTGTTTGACAGTTTAACTCGTCAAGTACCGTCATTATAGACACAATTATAGAACAATAGGTTGCGGTCACCGGTGACCGCTTGGTGTTTGACAGTTTAAACCAAAACATTTGTTTAGACAAATAAACTATTGTTCTTCTTTCTTCTTTCCTCTTTCTTCTTCTTTCTTCCTTCTTTCTTTCTTCTGTCTTCTTTCTTCCTCTTTCTTTCTTTTGACCGCCGCAGTCTCGCCGCGTATGTACTTAAAAATCATGTTTTCTTATCGGCTGTGGCCGACTGTGACGGATCACGTCATATCTTGTTTGTCAAACGTGGTAGGCAGAGGTATACTTACCATAGAGGCACTTTACGTGTTAAATTATGAGCTCAAATGATAAACTTGGTACGTTTAATTTATTGAACATTTTGACAGACTTACAGGCTTCATAACATGGCTTTCAATCAATCAAATGTCTAGGTGCAAGTGCGACTGCCGGGTCGGGCAAAGTATTGCTGGATTTAAAAAAAGATCTTAGTAGTAGCATGGAATCTGGAATTGTGTCCGGTATATGGCAATAGACGCACCCCCTATTACATGGGACTCATAACATAAATAGTGAAAAGTGGGTGTTACATTGTACAGTGGCTTTAAGTGCCGTATGTGTACCTGTAGCTACTCCATCGAGGATAAAAGACTCGATGATATTTATTTAACTCGTCGAGTACCATTATATACCTCTAGACACAATTATAGAACAATAGGTTGCGGTCACAGGTGACCGCTTGGTGTTTGACAGTTTAATTTATTATGTTTCTCCCTAGGGTGGTGCAATCCCAAAGCTAGTTGCCTTGCTAGCTCGCGGTGGATCAGTAGGCGAGCAAAGTGCTTGGGCACTCGGCAACATTGCAGGCGACGGGCCTCAAACCCGGGACTCCGTGCTGGCTCATGGAGCGCTGGCTGTGTTACTACCGCTCATGACTTGTACTACTCCGGCCAGTCAGCTCCGCACTGCTGTTTGGACTTATAGTAATTTTTGCAGGTAATTATTGATATATTTTTTTGGATGCCTTCTATGCTAACACAAGCACTGCAACTCCTCTGCTCCGGGTTCCAGGATCTTCAGTTGATTTTTTTATGGGATAAGTCGGTAAACGAGCAGACGGATCATCTGATGGTAAGCAATTAGCGTCGCCCATGGACAACTGGAACACCAGAGGTGTTACAAATGCGTTACCGGTCTTTTAGGGATTACGAATTTTAGGATTGATGGGGGTTCAGGGATTGGGGAGAGGGGGATAATTAGGCCTCCGGTAACCACACTCACAAAACGAAACAAAAAGCCGTGATTGTTTCACTATGGTAATGCATGCATATGTGAGCACCATGTTAGACTTAAAATTTTTATTTTTTTTTTTTATTTTAGTTAGTTATTAGTATAATGCGTCAAGCGTGTCTTTGCATTGTTCTTACATATGCGTACAGTATTGAAATATGTATCAGAGACATTGTAGAACATACTTTTTTAAAAAGAGTAACGAATGGAGTTTCTTGCTCGTTCTTCTCCATTCGAATCTACGTTTTGGAATGAGCACCTAGCTTCACCTAATTTCACTGATGGACAGACTGACAGACTATTATTTATTTTGTATTTGTTGACGTTTCATAAGTACCAAACTATGGTTTAATTGAAATAAATGCTTTGACTTTGACTTTGACTTTGACTT